ACTTTCGAACGATTATTATTGAGTCAAAGTAAAAACGATCAATGCATAAATTTCATAAATGAACAGTGAAAATTCCGTAAACCGACTTGAAATGGCCAAACAAATACAACATCTTTTCGAAAAGTGAACAAAAATCCTGTGGACGTCAAGGGTCAACTTACTAGGCCTGTAGATATGTTGTTGCACATTATCTCCACCACGCCAAGCTTTGTCGTACGGGTTGTACGTTTCATCATCCATTGCACCACTGTCCAAGCCCTAAAAACAGTCCGCACTTACGCGAAGTCGAGAAGCAAATACTCTAGCACCTTATTCTGATCAAACAGCCTTTGATCAAATTGAGTCTCACTGGATCGGACTTTCGCATCAGGTAATCCCAGGACGATCTTCTCCGAGATATCGCGGTCACGATCCCTGGAAACAGCGAAGGGTAAAACTTCTGTTGAAGAATCAAGAAAAACTCAGGTAGATAACCAACCGCATGAGCTTGTCCACTTTATCGGGACGGTTGCGAGCAATATTCCTTTCTTTACGGATGTCGTCCAATCGATCTCGTCTGCAAAACGAGACTGCTTTGCACAATAATGAAACAAATGACATCAATCTCACTGTTAGAATATATGGACGAACCTGATCTCTTCTCTCGCTTTCACAGCCTCATCCTCGTCTTCACCCTTCTTTCTTATACCTGCACGCTCCTAAACAAAGAAAGATACTAAGCTCATGAATCCTGAACGGTAAGATCTTTTACGCCTATAAGCAGACAAAAATGCTGACCTGTCGAGCCTTCGCTGCCATTTCGCGCATTCGAGCTTCTTGTTCAAGTTTCTTATGTTGTGCCACCCTCTTCTCTAGCTGTGCTCTCGCTTCCACAGATTCTCTGGCTTTCCTGTCAGCAATGTACAAGGCTTCCGATAACTTCGCGAAACCTTCATTGATGTGCGTCTAGAAAACTGACAGTACAAAGGAAAACTGTAAAGAGCAACCACCAAACCTGTTGCAATCCGCGACCGTCCGCTGCCAGTCTCTTGTCCAAAGACACCGTAAAACCTTCAAATTGCGCACTTGATATTCAAAATTTTAGTAATCAAACAGAGGAAATGAGAACATATTTCCTACCGAGCAAGCAACGAGTAGAAATATTCAAAGCAGATGAACAGCATATTTCTCAGCAGATAAATGACAAGCAAAAATAAAGCTGACCTTTCGGATTTTTCCAGTTGGAAATACATGGTGGTATCTTCCAATCGTTCTGATCTTTCGTTGTGACCTGAAGGCTGCCTTAGAGTACCGATAAGACAAAG